GATGGAGGAGATGGATGGGATGGGATGGAGGAGATGGATGGGATGGGGATGGAGGAGATGGATGGGATGGGATGGAGGAGATGGATGGGATGGGGTGGTGGTGAAGATGGTGATTGTTACGATGATAACAGTAATACACAGCACATTTGTGAGGGTTGAGATGTCACCAGGCTGGGACTGAGATCCCTGAAGCTGAGGACTTAACTCACCCTTATCAGAATGTTTGCGGGTTCACTGACTTGTCACAGTAAAGGAATCTCCAGGACGTGCCAGCAAGGGGCCAGAGTAGGGTCTGTTAGCAGAGGTAAAGGCCCACGGTCAGGAGCAGGATGCGGGCCAGGTCTGCAGTGGGGGTGCTTGTGGGTCTTTGGGGTGTCTCCAGGACGGCGAGCTGCCGTGTTAACACTGCCTGTTGCAAGGCCCTTTGGGGACTTCCTGGGATGCAAGCCATCTGCAGCAGCCCAGAGCAGGGCTCTGTGCCCCTGACGCTGCTGCTCCCTTGAGGAGGGAAGCACAGGCCCGAGCCTGGGTTCAGCCCGCGGCGTCTGAGACCTTGAGGAATTTTATTGGAAAGAGTTTCTTGGACAGGAAAGAGGCTTGTGTAGCTTTTGTGTGCCCAGGCTGCAGTTTCTCGATTTCTGTGACTTCTTTCTGTCCTCTCCCACCTTGGGATGAGGCGGTGGCAGGGGAGGGCTAGGTCGAGAGGTTTGGTCACAGTCCCAGGGGTGCATGGGGCCAGCAGGGAGAGTGCTGGTTCTGAGGGCAGAGTAGGTGGAGCAGGCACCAAGCCCGGCCTGCCAGCAGGCACAGCAGAGGACCTCATTGTGCACTGCGGGACCCTGATGAGGTGAACTGGGGCAGGGAGTGGGCCATGCTCAGAGACTCAGTGGTCCATTTTTATTTTGTTTTATTGAAACAAGGACTTGCTGCGTAGCTGGGGCCAGCCTTAGACACACTCCTGCCTCGGCCTTCCCACACTGGCATTGTAGGTATGTGCCAGCTCACTTGGCTTCCAGCTTTTCCGGTGTATGCCAGCATACCTGGTATCCAGCTTTGTGGGTATGTGCCAGCTCACCTGGCATCCAGCATTGTGGGTGTGTGCCAGCTTCACCTTGCTTCCAGCAGCGTGGCTTTCATAGTTGTCACCTTTCACTAGGTAACAATCCTTCATATCCCCATTGACCTGATCAAATTCCTGACTGGATTCCAGCTCATGCAGAAGGCTGTCGACCAGAAAAGCATTTTGGAAAAAAATGTGCTGATCCTGTGGTTTCCTGCGGTGGCAAAGAGCCCAGCCTGGAGCAGACACTCAAGAGACAGAGGAAGGAGAGAAGGAGGGAGGCCTGAGGGGTTGCGTGTGGGTGGTCAGTATGGGTGGCAGTTCCCTTCCCAATACAAACAGATTGAAGCAGCAATCAGTGACTTGGGTGACAGCGGCGGTTGTGGTCGCCTTCTGTGCCCCCACCTGCAGTCTACTCAGGTCCAGGCCAGACGCCTTGGCGGCCAGGGCTTGGGTCCAGCTGGGCCTTTGCTCAAGCTCTCTGCGTTGCATTTTCGTCACCTGCAAAAGAGGGGTTCGCCTATACCTCAGCACTC